ATCCGGACTTGGCTTTAGGAGATTATTAAGTCTAAATTAAAGCCCTGGAAGTTCACTTTCTAATGGTGGTGGCCTCACAACTAAAGTCTAAGTGTACAAAGAGATAGGCCTGATTTAGTAAAAGCTACTTAGTTCTCTCTTAACGGTTTCATGCTCAACCATTTCTCCAACTAGTTTTCTTCAATCTCCTCCTATTTTCTTCAACTCCAAACTTATAAATAAGATGTTTTAAAGATTTTTCAAAGAGGTCACCTCCCTTTCATTTATTTACACTTTGTCCTTACTCGATTTACCGAAAAGTGTAATATTTTAAACAAAATGCAAGTCTTGGAACATCGTAGAAACATTTAAAAAAATATTTTGAAAAAAATGGCTTTAAGGACTAAAATAGTTTTGGTCTAAAATAGTTTTGGTCAAAATGGGGTGTAAGGTTGGTATTTTGAAGCTCTTTTTGCTGAAGAAATCGAACGTTTGTACAACACAATTTTCATCATCAACTGATCAACCTGAGGCGCCCAAGTCTTAACGGCGGTCAAAAATGAGGTGTTTACACTTCCATTAAAAAAATCTAAATTATTATAATTAAATTTATCCCACAATATATATATATATATATATTATCTAAAAGACTCTGAGAGATTGAAATTAAAACTTCAAATTTCTCAAAATTTTTACTTTTAAAAATTAAGAAATACACATTTTACAAAACTATGGTATATCCAACCCTATCTAATTTAAAATATTAAAACCTTTGACTTAAAAAGTTCAAAATAAAATCTTAGTCATATTTAAATCAAATTACATTTGAATTTGAAAATTTTTAAATAAAAAGTTTAAAAAGAAATTTTAATTATACATATTTAAAATATTTCATAAGAAAATTAGTCTCAAATGAAATTTTAATAATACTATGGTGACTACTGTGACGCATTACACTAACCACATATACCATATGAAGCCCATCAACTACGTAATTAGTGTGATATGAACGTTACATCATATAATACCTAAATATAATGTTAAACTATAGTCATATTAAAAATTATTTAAAATTTAATTTATAAAATTATGCATAACTTATTAAAAATAAATACATTTCATCCGTTAATTCTAACCGTGGGTTTAATGATATGCCCAATTCAAATGTACATATTTATTTATTTATTTTGTGGTTTCATTTTTTGTTTTTAAATTATAGCATATTTAAATAAAAATAATACGATTGAATCATAAGAGTGTTTGATTGGAGGGATGAGGGGAAACTTTTACTGTGCGAATTGTAATCCATTGAAAGTATCCAATTCGGCGTTTGTTTTTTTTTTTTTTAGTCTGCCAGACATTGAGTTCGGCCAGACTCCATATCCCTTAGGGGTGGGCGTGGGTCGGTTGCGGCCACGGAACCTCCAATCCACCATCCGTCCGCCAGATTAGCGGATTGGAGGAAATCAATCCGCATCCGTCTGCCAATCCGGCGGATGTGGATTGAGCGGATTGGCGGTTTGGCGGATGGATGCGTTTTATTGATGTTTTATTTTAAAATTTTGTTTATATTTTATTTAATTTCATTATTTAAATTTTAATAGATGTTTTCTTTTATTTCATTATTTCATTATTATTATTTTTTAAAATAAATTTATTTAAAATTTTGATTAAAAAATAACATATATTTTTATTGATATTTTATTTATTTAATTTTTTAAAAATAAATTTATTTAATTGTGTAAAAAATAAAATAAATAAATTTTTTATTTAATCTAACTAAAAATAGTTGAAATATTAAAGATATGTTTAATATTGCTATTACTTAGTAAACAATTGAAAAATGGTAAAATAGTCTTTTGTTCATTTATCATATTCAGTCCGTCCAACCAAGCAATGGATTCACTAAAAATAGTCATTTCCAAACATCTAATTCCATGAGAAAACAAACACAGGATATACATCCAATCCAAGTAAATAGTCCGAGAAATTTACAGTCTCAGGATTCAAGTCCGATGAATTCTAATCCCCCCTTATCAAGTTTATCCAATCAAACACACCTTAAGTATAACTTCGATCGTAATATCCAACAAAGTCAAAATCACATAGGTATTCTTTGTTTTTAATATCTTTTCCTTATATATTTTAGTTTCGTCTCAAATTTTTTTATTTTATTTATTTTAAAGGAATATATAGCAAATGAAAAAATATGAAAAGAGATAAATATGAAAATAAGAGTTGGTTTGGAAATTAAATTCTTTAGTGACTTTTTATAGTAACTCTTTGACTTTTTTCTTAAATATATTATTCCCAAATAAGACCTAAATATACTAATTTTAGTAGTAAGGACAAGATTTATAATAAAATATAATGGTTTTTATGAAAGGATATCGACTAAATTAGGATAACAAAGGTGAAGATAGCTAAATTGAGTTAAACCTTGATCGGGTAGGAGAAGTTGACGAGCACACAGGTGAGAATAACTAGAAAAGAGGTTAAATATAGCAAAAGATTTATAATCAAATATAATGGTTTTTATAAAGAGGCATCGACTAAGTTAAAATAACAAAGGTGAAGATAGTTGAGTTAAAATTTGGTCGGATAAGAGAAATTGACTTGTGGATAGGTGAGAATAACTAGAAACACCTTGATCGGGTAGGAGAAGTTGACGAGCACACAGGTGAGAATAACTAGAAAAGAGGTTAAATATAGCAAAAGATTTATAATCAAATATAATGGTTTTTATAAAGAGGCATCGACTAAGTTAAAATAACAAAGGTGAAAATAGTTGAGTTAAAATTTGATCGGATAAGAGAAATTGACTTGTGGATAGGTGAGAATAACTAGAAACGGAGTTGACAAAAAAGAAAAAAACAATAAAAAAAATGTAGACTTGACAAAAATAGTAAAATTACTTGATTTAAAACCATTATAATATATATTTATTATTTTTATTATTTAATTTTAAATTAATTTTTATGTATTTATTAAAGACCCTACATAGTACGACTACCATGCTAGTATATATATATTATATTTCTTATTTGATTGTATACATCCATAATTATTAGCACATTTGAATGAAATCAGATTGATCCTATTTATCCTTTTTTCTTTAAAACAAAAAAAAAGAATGATAAGTATGATTTTGAAAGGCCACAAAGCCCCTTGAGTACTTCATCAGGATATAGAGGTCAAGTCCAGCTCATTATGGGTCTATATTTGGCCGGTTTGAACGATTGAAATCGTTCATTTGATAAGACTTATCAAATGTGTTATTCATATTAAAAATTAAATCCATCAGATCACATTTTTTTGAAAAAATATAGATGCATTGTATGATTTTAAAGATAGTCAATTTATTTATTTTAGATAAATATGATTCGATCAAGTGATTATCGATATTCAATCAATTTAATTTTTGATATTAATAATATACTCAGCAAACCCCACAAGATGAACGGCTTTGATCGTTGAGACGAGAGCAATATGAGCCCTTAATGGATCATATTGGGTTGCACTCATTTTGAAACTAGACCATTTATTTATTTATTTATTAAAAAATATATATTAAATTTTGAAAAATAATAATTTTTTGACAACTTTAATTTGAAATTAAAGTAGGACCCAACCGCTGGTTCAAGTTGGTTTGAATAGTTTTGTATTCTTTTAAATGAAAAGGTTGCAATACAAAAATAATGAGCTGAAACCATTAAATTGTGAATGAGAATTATCTCATAAAGTGGACATCAGTAAAATTGTGTTTAGATTTGGACTTAGTCTAGGTCTGAACTGGACCTAGACTTGTACTTGTGCATGTTCTGGGTTTGGTTTTAGACTTGGACTTAGACCTAGTCTTGAGCTTTGGGCTGAGCTGTGCTGAGCTTAGTTTGTGCATGTGTTTGATATTGTGCTTGGATCGGGTTGTAACCCAACACCTGTATCCATTTCGCAACCCATTTAGTTTAATTTTCAAAATTTATGCATTATATACATGTTATGATTTATATAATGGTTTTGGAGTTTTGAACATTTATAACTCTAGCCCTAATGACTAGAGTTGATAGTATTTGATAGCCCTATTGATGTATAGCCTTCATGGCTAGGAATTCCTCTACTTGTATAAATAGAGGCATTTTCCCTCCAACTTGGAAGAAGGATTTTTGGAGAGGCTTTTGATGGAAAATGAAGATAATGTTATGAGATAAAAAAAAATTACAGATGTTTTTTTCTCACCAAAGAAAATTTTTCCTATCTTCTTTTGCTAACCTCTTCTTTGGTTCTTGCTAGAGAGAGTGCAATCATTGTCCAATTCGCCGAAGGTATTCAGAAGGTGCTTCTGTATTAACTGATTTCAACCGTCGTATCTTAGGAGACAAATGCCGGCGTACCTCCAGCATCCATCGGGAAGCGGTGAATCTGTTTTAAAGAAACTGTCGAGTGTAGGTTTTGATTTGCTTCTTTTCTTATCATTTATTCTTAATTTTTTCAATATCTAGTTTACAAAGATAAGTTCTAATCTTTAGTTATTGATGTTAATAATTTGTTCTATTAGTAATGTAATCTAATTCATTTCTGTATTTTTACTTGTGTCATTTATTCTCTATTTCATCATTTTAATAAAAAATTATTTTGTCATTTCTATTTAATTTATTTATATTTTTTTCCTATATTATTATGAAAAATTACCAGTATTAAAATCATGTGATTATAATTATTTATTCAATTTAATTTAATTTTTTTTTTTACCGAATCATATACTTATGGTAATGAGTCTACCATGTGGACTTTCAGAAAAGCTTATTCATTTGCCGTTAGATGTCAGAGAATACCGGGAAACAAACAACAAACCAATCTGAAATACTGGGTCACCCATTGCGTCTTCCCAAGAATTTCAACATTCTAACCACACAAATGAGAGAAAATCGCAAAGCTCGACACAACTCCTTAGATGGAGGCCACACTGTGGTCTGCATATATATATATATTATTTGCCTGTCCTTCAGCTGAGCGAATGAAGAGAACAATCAGATTAGAAGAGAATCCCTTCACAAACAAGAAAGAGATTGAAACAAAAATTTTAAATTAAAAATGACAAGCATGGGCTTCACATCCATCCTTAGTAAATCCAACCATGCCGGTGCAATGGCATTACGAAATCCATGGAGCTCTAGGATTTTTGTTTCCGTTGCACCACGTCCTCTCCAGGTTCTTCTTCTTCTTCTTCTTAAATTTTATATAATGAGAAATCTTCTTTAAATATCAAATATGTGTTACCACTATCCTCACATTTCGGACGAAAAACTTGAACATAAAATGTCCTAATTGTTTACCTAGTATTACTATCCCCAGGCCTGGTCATGAGATTTTCGAAGCCTAAAGTCAATAATGTAATGAACTAATAAATATCACTAGATAATTTAGAGTTTTTCACATTTTTTTTTATTCAATCAAAAAAAATTTTTGAAGGTAAAGGACAAAAGATTTGTATCAAAAGAGTTAGGGTAGGAATTTGATAGGGAGAGAGAGGTCCTTTTAATTTTGAATAAGTCTTTTAATTTTTCAATGGGTCAATTTATTTTAAATTAGTTTGGATTCTTTAATTTTTTATTTTTTTTATTTAAAACATACCTAATATATTACACTAAGTTATAATAACATGGGGTCTTTTTTTGGATGTATTTTGAGGAACACTAAGCCATGGCCTGATGGGCCTATGCCCAGGGCCGGCCCTGACTATCCCAGAAAATCATCCAAAATTTAAATTGTATGGACCAAATTCAAAATATGATGATAAGTTTTAATCTATACCACATACTCACTTTCTGAATAAATTCCATCATTCTTATTATGAAGAAAATGTTTAGGAAGTGTTAGATAATATCAGCTGTGATTCTAATTGAAACTATATGGCTGGCTATATCAATTGAAGGGTGCTTTAATAACTATATTGGAAATCAATAATTACAGGCAAGTTTTCGCCAAGAGGCTAGAGTTAGTACACAGGCATATGACAAGGCTGCTGATGCAGCGAAACAAGGTGCCAATGAGGCAATGAATGCCGGCCAAGATGTCAAAAATAAAGTTGCCTCTATTGCCGAAGATGTAAGTAAACACATTTACTAGTAATTACCAAAGTTTTTTTTTCATTTTTGTCTTTTCCTTTATATATTCTTTTGAGTTAACTCATTTTACACATTTATGTTTTAGGCTAAATGTTACATAATTCTTGATTTATTAATTGCACTTTAAAATTAATAATAATAATTAATCTCTTACACTTCTGATTAAGTTACAATGTCGCTCTTTCTTGAAATATAATTATAATGCAACTATATAGGTAAAGGTAAAACTATAAATATATTTTGCAACTTTTTTTAATGTTAATCTGGATTTGAAGATGACCGAAAAAACAAAAGAGACAGCAGGGACGGTGGCGGAGACAGCGCAGGATTTAACAGAGAAAGCCAAGCAAAGAGCAGGAGACGCATGGGATGCAGTCAAGGACACCACTCAAAAGATCAAGGAGACCGTTGTTGGCAATGGCAAGGCTGCTGCTCAAGAAACAAAGCAATCCGTTAAACAAAATGCAGAAACTGTCGAGCGCAGCATGAACATGAAAAATGAATAGACACACCCACACCCTACCATACCCTACCCTGCCTTGCCTTCTTCTTGTGCAAATTATTATATAACTATATCATATCATACATATGTGTAACCCACCCATGTTTTTGGAGTGATTATTACTTAGTAATATGGGGGTATTATTTGATATTGTTCCCATGATCCTCCCAATTAGTGATATTAAAATTTTTTATGAGTGAAATAAAATTAACTCTCTTTTATTAAGTAATTGAGAGACTAAATGACTCGCTGTGTATTTTTTGTTATTTCTCATTTATTGTGAGCACTATGCACGCCATACTCCAATACCAAATGTTTTTGTTTCATTTATGCTACTAATTCTTATGTGTCGTTATTTTCTAAAAATAAGTACAATAAAATTATGTAGTTATAATTATCGAATCTATTTGATTTTCTTTATTTTTTAATAATGAATGTACACTTCAGAAGTTTAGAAAATTTACAAATCAAATCATCAAAATAGGACAATAATACATCAATTTAAAATTACATATTTATTAAAATCAAACTATGTTTACACACCTTTAACTAATGTCTCTATAATTGTTATTAACTCGTTATTCAAAAGTTTCAGAGTATGATGTAGCATTGATTATATGATAACTAAATCATGTAATGGAAATTTTTAGTGATACAATATATCGATGACTCACCTTTGTCAGATAGTTGAAAAATAAGTGACATTCACTTAAGTTGTGTTTGATGTATGAATTTTAAATAAAAATTTAAAAAATAAAAGTGAAAACATGTGTAAAATATAATTATTTTTAATTCATACTTTTCTTACATTTTTCTTTTACTTTTCAAATATCTACTAAAATTCATAGTTCACACACATCCCTAGTTTGTGTTGTAATTTATTATAAATGTATCACGTAAACAATGGCGTGTCTATAAATTTCCTATTGAGGTTGGTCTTATTTTTTAATTTCCTTATTTATATAATTCTCTTTAATATTAAAGGTTTTATATATATATATATATTTTCACCGTATTATACTTCTGGAGTAAAAAGCAGATTATTATTTATTTTTATTAAATTTTTTACTTTAAAAAATACTAATCATAAATAGTTTTATTTTTTTATTTTTCACCGTATTATACTTTTGGAGTAAAAAGCAGATTATTCTTTATTTTTATTAAATTTTTACTTTAAAAAATACTAATCGTAAATAGTTTTATTTTTTAGTTTTTATTTTTAACAACAAAACATGGGTGAATGCAACATTTCCCTTAATATCAGTAATAGCACGGTCAACCAAGGGTGTTTATGGTTCCATTTGCCGAGTGTAGAGGATCAGCGCTGCTTTTCTTTTTTTTAATGTTAGATATGTAAATAGGCTGCTTCAACATATCCATTAAGAAATATTATCTCTTAGCACCTATAGTATATCTGTAACGAATCTCACTACACCTATGTCGGTGCCGAAACTTAGACCCCATGCAGGGCCGGCCCTGAGTTTCCGGGGGCTTAAGGCGAAATAATTTTTCGGGGCCTTTTTAGATATTTAAAAAAAAATAAAAATAAAAATCACTCTGTTTGGTTTAGAGTTTTTAAAAATAATTGTTTGAGTTTACAATTCGTATTTTTTAATATTTTTTGTATTTGGTAACGTTTTTAAAAAAAAAAAATATATATATATATATATATATATTATAGTTTTTAAGTGTATTTAAATTACATGTATCTACAAAATAAATAAATAAAAATTGTGTAAAATATTTTTTTAAAAAAAATACTAAAAAACACATAATTGGGCCATAAAGAGAGAAAAAAATAGGCCACACAAAATTAGGCTAACGACTAATACATATACATATATTTAATATTTTATTTTTTTTAATTGGACTAACAACTAAAACTTATAAATATTTTTTAATTGGATCTTTTATCAATTGGGCCAAATAGATTTTTTTGAAGACCCTTTTAAAATGGCCTAAATTAATTAAATAGAATTTGGTCATTTTAAATTTTTAATATAGTGTAAGACTAAATTTGGAGCCCTTTTTTGGGCCTAATTTTTGAGGCCCTAGGCACAAGCCTCATCCACCTTAGCCCAGGGCCGGCCCTGACCCCATGTACTCCAAGTATTAAAGAGTATATTTAACTCCAATAAAAAAGTACAAAAACTTAAACCCAAACTTTAAAGAGCAATGTTTGAGTGCTCTAGAAAAGAGCTCTAATAGCTCACATTTGTGTGTGAGCTTCATCTATTATGATGTTTTAGCCTTATTATTATTTATTTTTTTGATTTTCTATATCATTAAAACTCAATGAAAATCTTAATTTTAGGGGATAAATCACTGCTGAACTTTAAAAGAGAAATTGAAAGGCTACCACCGAACCAATCCTATTGGTCAGCGCTGCTTTTCTGTTTGTTTACGTCTCGTTCTTCTGCATGTTCGCCACGTACCCCAAATGACTTGTCCATTGCTAAAATGGGCTATGTTTTTCTGTCGCTGACACATTAAATAATAGTTACAATGGGTTAAAGTTCAAAATGCTTTCAATCTTTAATCTGGGAAACATTTGACGCATCCAACAGTGGATCTGTGCTCCCCAACGAACCAAACCTTTTGTCTATCCCATTCATGCAAGTTCCTTTAATCTAGTGTGGGACCATGCATTTTGTCATTGTATCAAGGTTTGTTTGAGCTGTGCTCAAAGTACAGCAGTGACTGTAGTATTTTTAATTGAGATGTATTATACTCTTATTTTTATGATCTAAACCGTTATATTGTAGGGTTTGTTGAGTACTTCAAGCCTACAAAAAATCATATTAATCGGATATCAATAATTATATGATTGAATAGCATATTATTTATGCTATTTCTCAAAAAAAAACTTATTATTTATTTTTTTGGTTATCGATCATATAGTTGTTGATATCCGATTAATATGATTTTTGGTAGGCATGAAGTACTCAACAAATCCTACAAAATCAACGGTTTGGATCATAAAAATAAGGTCATAATACACCTCAAACAAAGACACCACAGTCACTGCAGTGTTCAAAAGCATAGCAGTGGAGCAAGGATCCTCTAGAGTGATTTTTTCCTAAAGTTTCCTAGAGTGCTACATTGTGTGGTTGAGATTTACTGGCAAGTCACATCAATTTTTCTGATGTGACTTGCCAGTAAATCTCAACCACACAATATACATTACAGGAAAATACACCTTTGGCGACTAAATTTTTAGTCGCCAAAAGTCCCTTTTTAGTCGCCAAATGTCAAATTTCCACTTTCCCCGACATTGTTTTTGGTCGCCAAAAACCTCCCCCTTTGGCTACTAAAGTGAATTTTAGTCGCCATAAACCTGTTTTTAGCTACTAATTTTTTTTTAGTAGCCAAAAAGCTTGACCTTCAGCGACGAAACTGTTTTTAGTCGCCAAAACAGGTACAATCAGCGACCAAAGTGGTTTTTAGTCGCCAAAACCTTAACGTTTGGCTACCAAATGGTTTTAGTCGCCAAAAACCCTAACCTTTGGCTACTAAAAATATTTTTGTCGCTAAAACCCCTATATTTGGCGACTAAACTGCCTTTTAGTCGCTAAAACCATTACATTCGGCGACTAAAGTCTTTTAGTCGGCAAAAGTGACCAATTTTGGCGACTAATTCCATTTTAGTCGCCAATTCCATGACTTTCAGCGACGAAAATTCCCATTTTAGTCGCCAATAGTGTTTTTTGTTGTAGTGATAGTACTCTAGGAAACTTTAGAGAAATTTCACTCTAGAGGATCCTTGGTGATAGCAGTGTCCCCTTTTCCGATTTTTGTTACCTGGCAATATTGAAATTATCTTGTTTATTGCAAAGAATAATTACTCACTAATTTTAAAAAATTATGATATGTAAATAAAAAAATTATTACATAAAATTAACATATGTTAAATTAATATTCATTAATTTTAAATCAAAAATGAAAATCACTTACTATTTCTAAAATTTTCATTGACACATCTCTAGTAGAAATTGTTATATAAAAATTTTATTTATAAATTGCTTTTTAATTTTGAAATAAGCATTGAGATGTTATAGATATATACTATTCTATTATGGCTTGAAAATACTTTTCAAAAACACTCTAGTTAAAATTTTCAAAAATATTAATTTTATTTATGATTATAATTTGTTTTAGATTTTTTTTTTTTTTTGCATCAATTTATAACGGGGTTTTTTGTGTGTTTATTTTCATTTCAGTGAACTTCTTAAAAATTTATCTTATTTTTGTTTTTATTTTTAAAGTCTGTCTAGATTAAACAATCTTAAAAATTGGAAAATATATATTGTATTTTAATTTAATAAAGACAAAAGAAGTAAAATTGTATCCCAAAAATATTTAGGAAAATGTTTGGTGGCCACAAATTATATGGCTCAAAGGGTCTGAAAATATCAAAATGACGTCGTTTTGACATTTTCAGAATTGTTTTGTACTCAAAATAACATCGTTTTGATATTTTCGGATCAATTAAACTACGGAATTTGTGACCACTAATCATTACCGAAATATTTATAAAAGTAGGAATTTTTGTCGTTATTAATATTTTCAAAAAAATTTCAATACCTTGAGAGAACGGTAGAGACTGAACTTTTTTATTTGTAACTGTTTAAATAAAAGTTGTGGAAAAGGTCTGCAGTCTAAAACGGCTGTCCCAATCAATGCAAAATTAATTGAGATGAGATCATGATTTGATTGGAAATGCTGGAGTGAAAAAACAGAGCTGGCAATTCGGCATCAACCTATTACAACGACTCGAATCGTATATGTGATTATATTTCGACACAAGCATGAATATAACGTGATATAATAATTTGAATATTAAATAGGTTGTGTTAAGGTTAAATATGTATAACTTGAACATGACTCGTTTGATCTTTATAATAATTTGTGTGGACATGTAGACACAAACTCATTATTAACTCACAATTAATTCAAATACAACTTAAATCTAGTAGTTATAAAATATAATATATTAAATGCTTTATGCTTAGGCATTAAATTATATATTATGGTATTTGAAGAAAACTTATTTTGTTTTTAAAATTTTGTTAGATGTTTGGATATTAATGGGAGACAATAATTCGACAATAATTCGAATTGGATGTGTGGATGATTAGTAATGAATATTTTAAATTATTTTCATAAATATTAGCATATCTGTTAAGAAAAAAAAAATTTAAATATGAGTAACTCAAAAT